GCCCAGGTGTATTTGGTATAGAAGATTTGAGGTTGTTACCTTTATATATTTTTATTTTATCAAAGCACAAGGGTTCTAGATGACCTATTCTATTACAGTGTGAACTTATATACAAAATGGTTCTTTCCTTGGTGATTTATGTCTCTTCTAGTCCTTCTTTCATTTTTAAATCATATACTTGTTATACTTATATAATAACTCTAACTAGAAAACATTAGGTCATTTTTCCCGTGGGTAAATTTTCTTAAGGTTTCTCGCAAGTCAACTACTTCTCTTATAATGGAGTCACACCGCTTACATTCTTCTTTCATATTTCTAAGCTTAGTTATATCTATTTTATTTATTTATTCAATATATCTTAGATATTTCTTAAGACATTGGGTACATTATCTTAGTCTGGCATTCTCTTCCTTTAATTGATTTCTTAATCTAAAAAGTTGAGCATAAGATGGTTTGATATCTGGAATAGTATCTTCCTCACTGGATGCCTTTAAGAAGATTTCATTTTCTTAGTTTGAAGAATATTTTTTCATATTTATCCTCGAGGTTGATGTCTCTCATCCTCTTCTTTGCTCGAGTATTGAAGAAACTTCTTCATTTTCTTTGTCATTCCTTAAATAAGAGGGTCCTTCATTTGATGTTGAATCTTCCGAGGATCGTTCAAATGATAAGTATGTTCTTTCGAAGGATTGTATAAGAGTTATATGATAGGAGTAAGATGAGGATGATTATTATTCATTTTGGATTCCTTCATCTTTGAGTAGTTGAACTAGTTCGTTCAACTTCTTTACAATTTCCCTCATTCTTGATTTTTCTTGAAATCCATTAAGGCTCTCATCTATTGATTTAAGAGTTAGATTATACTTCCAATTATTAATTCTTAGATTTTTGTTATTAATGCAATTTCCAAAAAACTTTCTAATATTTCTAAATTTAGAAAAACATCCATGCTTGGTGTTTTTATCTTCTTCTCCTTGTGTGTTCACATTCTCTTGTTTGATACTAGGAGAAACTTCATATATCATTTCAAGAGTATCCTACATTTCCTTGGTGGTATTTTAATGATTAACATAGTAAAATTTTAAATCATCCAAAGACATTTCTAGAAATATTTTGGTTTTGAAATTTATTTCAAATTTTCTCTTTTCCACTCCGGCCCAAAGGAAATCAGGTTTATCTACTACTTCATCATTTACTTGATAAATAGGGATAAACTGATCATTGACTATATCTTCCCATAATTCGTGACTTATACTTTGAATAAAAATTATAAATCTAGCTTGCCAAATATTAAATTTACAATCATTAAAAAGTGGTGGTGTGTTTAGAAAAGACCTTTTGTCAGGAGTCATCTTCCTTCTGAGATGATTAGTCCTTAAACAAGAGTTCGACTCTGATGCCACTTGTTGGACTTGAGACTTCACACACAAGAGGGGTGAATTTGGTTTAGTTAAAAGTGATTTTGAAAAACTTTGGAAAGTAAAATCAGAGTTTAAAAAACATTTTTGAAAACTTAGCAGCAGAAAATAAAAAGAAGAAAATAAATTGCAGAAATTAAAATAGTTAAGGGAAAACAGGAACACAAAGAACTATAGAAGTTTGATCAAAACAAAGGACCTACTATTCTCCCAAGAACTGATCTTGAGAGTTTCCAATAAAAGTTGAGAGCTTTTAGTAGGAAATACTCACAAACCCACTTATACACGGAAATGATGGTTGGACTTTAACCAAATAATACAAGACAATGGATTTGAATATGTGCGTCTTTTTGTCCAGATAAGCTTAGGAGTGAAGTGGCCAGTCTTTCTTCCCTATGGTGTATTGAAGTGGTTAGTCCAATTCTATGAACAAGAACCTTAGAGCTGTTAGTCTTCAAGCTTCTTAAACCTTGAGCTCTAACCTTGGTTTTACACAGGATAATCAATAACCTGCGAGATTTTAACACTAGGATAATCTCGAATCTATGAAGCTTTTAATACCTGGCTAAGCTTTACCCTATCTTGGTTTTAATACCGGGCTGACCAAGAATCTATGAATCTTTTAATACCAAAATAAGATTCAATCTATCTTGATTTTAATATTAGGCTGGCCAAGAACCTATAAAATTTTATCACAGGCTGATCTCCAACCTAAACTAGGGTTTAATCACACAATCCCCAAACCAAAGCTTTTAACGGGTTTAGCTTCTAACCCAAATAAATCCATAAATGGATTATGTTAAACCAAAGTGTATACAAAATATTTCCTTGGAGAATTTACAATTCCACCCTTTGCAGAATTACAATTTTACTCAAAAATTCACTTCTCACAAAAGTACTTAGGCTAAAATATTAGGGAGGGAAAGTGAAATAAAACTTTAGAGGGAGAGAGAGAGAGAGAGAGAGAGAGAGAGAGAGAGAGAGAGAGAGAGAGAGAGAGAGAGAGAGAGAGAGAGAGAGAGAGAGAGAGAGAGAGAGAAAGAGAGAGATAGAGAGGGAGAGAGAGAGAGAGAGAGAGAGAGAGTGTGAGTGAGAGAGAGAGAGAGAGAGAGTGTGAGAGAGAAACAAGTATGTCAAAACACATTTCTGGATGAAATGAAATGAGAAAAGAGACCTCTAGTTATAAGCTAGAGGTTGGCTCAAAAAGGAATATTAAATAAATGTTTTTTACGACCATCTAATTGATTGGAACATATTCACAACTGATTAAAAGTTTGAAATACAATCGATTACAGTTTTATAAAAGGAAGAAAAAGATATCTAGTCGTTACACATCATTATGGCATTGTCCTAATCACTTGGGGCTCAATTTTGAGTTGATCTAACTGATTGGATAAATGTTCTAACCAATTAGATAAGTCAAAATTTCGCCTCTTATAATTTTGACAGTTCCTAATTCATTTGGAAATTCTTAAGATATTTTCTTTAGAAAAAAGCGTTTGATAATGGATTTTAGTGTGTGAGTGTATGCTTTAGCCATGCACTTTTACGATAAAACCCTTATGCTTTACAATTTGTTTAGTCACAACTAAATTAGGAGGTACCACAGTACTTTAAGACTTTGCCAGATGCTTTCTCTATTGTAGACACTTTCTTGAGTAGCTTGAGATGAGGCTTTATGTTATATTCCATTTGATTGCCATCATCAGATAATCAAGTCCATCAAACTTTAATGATTAGGTTTACATCTTTATCTGCTTAATCGTTCACGCTTGACTTATCATAAGACATTAGTTGCCATCATCAAAAGTTGATGTCCTTGTTAAAAGCATATCATATGCAAAACAAGGTTCCACGACCTTCATTATATCTTCTTTAATTTTTAAAGACAAAAAGTGTGATTGTATATCCTACGACCTACATCTCACCTCATCAACAATAACTTTACACTTGAAATGGATTTTAGAACTCTAATAACTTTTTGTGCATGGGGATCATCCATTAGATTTTCAACAATAATGTGGTAGTTATCTTGACTTCCTTGAAACTAAAGATCACCTTGACTTGTCTCATCTCGATACGGGTGGGATAAGGCTTCCTACCACCAGGATTAACCACCATTAACTCAGTTCTAGAATCAGCATCTCTGAGTTCTACTTGGCTAAGGTTTACAAAAGGGGGATACCTAAATAAAGGTTTCACGGGTTCTCCAAAAGAAAACATATAAGAAAACTCAAAATTATCAAGGAGAAAGAGGAAATATCTTAATGAAATGCAGGTTATTTGAGGAAAATGAACAGAGATACAAGTTGTTCTCTCTAATTTGAGCAAATCAACGTGAATATCAAGAATCCCTAGTAATGAATAAAGTAGGCGAGTTTCCTTTGATTATAGTCTTGAATCATGGAAGAATTCAAAAAGAGAAAATGAATTTAAAGTTCCCACTTTATATGCACAAGGAGCACCAAGTTCAACAATTGAGATTTGATAGAAGGCTAAAATCCACATCCAACGATTAAGATGGATGGAATAACTAGACTTAAATGCACTCGAGTGGGCCTAGGTGCATCACTTCCCTACCGTACGTGTGTGGGGGCTCGTGGTGGTCATCACCTCAGTAAATTTTCGTCTGTACGAAAACCCATCTACTTGATATCCTCAATTGATAGTTTCTCTTACCGGTGAAGATTTCTGGGTCAGAATCACTGATTTATTCATCAACAATCCTCGTTTCAAACTAATGTCAAGAACTTAAGGGAAAACTATTCAAGGATGGCCAATGACCAATAAAAGTCTGCCCAATCCTTACATCCAATCTAATAAGAGTGTGTCAAAATGTGACATACAAGTACCCCGCATCCCAAGATACCACATCGGAGCACGACTTCCCTTCCATTAAGATATTTGATTTACATCCAATAGTCTCTTGAACACCACACCAGAAAAATCAAAGACATTTATAATCATATTCTCCATGTTGTCAATTTAAGTCATCTAAACACACTTTCACTCATACTTGCAAAGTTCAACCTTCATATATTAACTTGAACTTCAAAGTTCTAGGTTTTTTTAGAAATATTTTTTCTTGAAATATAGAGATGAGAGTTTTATTCAAGAGTACTTTAAAAAAATCGAATAGCATTTATATTATTATTTTTATAATTATTTAAAAGAAAAGTTTATGAATAATTACACCTCACCATATGAAAACTTTTTTCACCATTTCTTTAACAAAAAAATCAATTCTTCCCATGAAAACTTTATATACATAAAGAAAATTTAATAAACTATAAATAAATTATAAGGGTATATATTTCTTATCTTGTTATTTTCAATAATCTACAAAACAACTCAAATAAACACACTCTTACTAGGGAACCAAAAAGTGGTGCAATGAAAATTAACAGAAGAAAAAGAGAACAACTCAATAAAGGCTAAAGCATAACTGTATTATAAGCTGGCATTACTTCCCTCCTTTATCTTTACAAAAACCTAAACAAATCCCTAAGAAATCATAACACAATTCAGTAGCGCAAGATCTAAGGTTCCACTATACACAAGATCCAAGTAAGAAGAAGAAGCATGATGAATAAGGGAAGAGAAGGCAAAGGAACAGCACCCTCTACAGATCTGTTAGTATGTTTCCCATCTCGAACTCATTTTCGTTTAATGCCCAAGGCCATTTGCAGCCCCGTTAGGCCTTTAGAGCCTAACAAACGCCACCGCCACCACCAGCGTAAGAGATCAATCTCGAGAACGGGTGGTGGCGGCGGACAAACGAATAGTCCTATGTTATGGACTAAAAACAAGTCAACTGGCTCTGAGAATTCGGAGCCAACTTCTCCAAAAGTTACATGTGCCGGACAGATCAAAGTGAGGCATAAAAACACTGCTTCAAGGAGTTGGCAATCTGTGATGGAAGAGATTGAGAAAATTCATAACAACAAGAAGCAAAAGAAGCGTCTAAATTGGGCTGAATCTCTCGGTTTCAAGAAGGAGATTATGCATTTCTTCACTTGTTTACGAGCAGTACGCTTCGACTTTCGTTGCTTTGGATCCTTCTCTGGAACCGATATAGTAACAGAAGACGAAGACGAAGACGATGAAGAAGACGAAGACGATGGTGAAGATGAAGATAAAGACGAAGTGTATTCCGAAAACGATCAAGTTGGTGTAGATGAGAATCACAACGACAACGAATCATCGAGGGCCGTGTTCTCGAAATGGTTCATGGTACTACAAGAAGATCAAAACAATGAAGTTCACAAAGAAGAAGAAAAGAAAGAGGAAACCGGTGATGGAGATGGAGAAATCCCTGTGCCTCCTCCAAACGCATTATTGCTCATGCGTTGCAGGTCTGCTCCGGCGAAGAGTTGGTTGACAGAAAGTGAAGAAGAAGAACATGGAAATAATAATGAAAAGCAAAACAATTCACATAAAGATAAAGAGAAAGAGAAAGAAAAAGAAAAAGTATTAGCACAAACACATGCAAAAAAGGGACAAAGTTTAAAGTCATTGATGGCGGAAGAGAAGATAAACAAGAAAGAGAATTTGGTAGTGATGAGATATAATCCTGATTTTTATGGTATTTCAACTGATGTTGCTGCAGAGACATGGATTGTTGGTGGTTTACCAGATCCAATATCAAGGAGTCGAAGTTGGAAAAGATGAAGTATCATATTCATAGTCCAAAATATTAATTACTCTTATTTTTTTTCATTTTGTTTTTGCTTTGTTTTCATACAAAGATTGTGTTGTGTCAAGTTTCACAAGAATACTAACTGGGAAATTTAATGTTAAAATCCCAGTTTTAGCAACTATATGATATTTTTTTGTTACTTTGTTGTACAGCTTTCTGGTTTCTTTACATAAGTATTTGGGAAAGTTTTTTTTGCAGGTTTGGGTGTGAATTTGTTTACTCTGTTGTTTGGATTCTTAAAGTGCTTTATTAGTCAGAGGAATAAAGGAATATACATAGTACAAAAAATTGCCCCTATAAATATGTTTTATGTCATCTTTAATTTGTCAACAAAAAAGAAAAGAATTGAGTTTACTTAATTTGGGACAGTTGAGCTTTGAGTTGTGACTCGTGAGGTTTTTTCTCTTTAAGGCAGTGCTTTGGGTGTTATAATGAGGTAATGTTGATTTAAGGACTATTTTACTTTGTGTAGTTTAGATCTCTCTTAACCCACTCTTTTGCAATTGTGTAGAAGTGGGGTATTTGTATACTATAACTGATTTTCGTTGGTTGTCCTTAAAGTATACTTATAATTGTTTTCAATCATTATTTTCGATAAGTTTCTATGTCCCATCCTTACATCTATCTTTCTTAGTTAAATTTTTGTTTATAAAAACCTGATAAAAGGATAAGTTGGATTTCAAGTGTGAGTGTTAAAGTTTTACACCGACTAAGAATAGAGAAAATATTGAGTTTATAAGAGAGGTGACTCGTACCTTCATTGTCCTTAACTATGTGGTGTCAAAGTCTCTTGTAACTATGAACGTTTGACTCATTGACACTTTCAGACTTCTCCAACAGATTCAATAAAGATGTGGAATACCACAACCAACTCTGATATATAAGATATCCTACAAAAAGAGAAAGGTATGATTCAAACTCAAACACACTTTGACTCCCTCATTACTCCTCATACTCTTACTGACTTGGGTACTGAAGTGCTAACCTTGTCATCACGATGTTCCAATGATTATTTCTAATATTGAACAGGACAATAACGTTGTTTGTGGGAATGACTTATGATTCATGCGAGTTTTTATAATCCTATTCGTCTAATTCAAGTAACGATCGTCATAAAGTCATGCTAAGATTCAGAAATCAACTCTCGATCTCGTTTCTGAGAGCGCCTAAGATCCTTCCAACTTTAGATTATCCTTGATTTTCATCGATTCGGTCAGTGAGAAGAACTCTCTCAAACCAACAATGTAGATCGAGTAGAGACAAAGGGATATGTCGATTTTCAGGTTTCGAGATCACGAGAAGGTGGGTGGAATCCCTAACGTGACAAGTCCACTAATCATACCCATCACCATAAAAAAATTATTCAATGTTATTGTGAACATGTTTTGCATAATAGTCCCATGTGAAAGTGTGTACACCAACATTCTTAGGAGATCTTTCTTGGCAACAATAAACGTTGTAGCATCTACAGTCTATTTAAAGATGAATACTATGAAAATTTTGGTAAATCAATCCTTGTTAAGGAAGACATGCATGGAGCTCGTCTTATACATGAGGCAATATTGAAGTGTTCCTTGTCATCTAGTGTTGACTTTGATGAAATGATAAACATAGTCGATATCGACGTAAGAGAGAAAGAAGCAACAAGAAGACGTTACATGGCTTGCTCGATGATGATTTAACTCTAAAGTTACATATATTGACAGCTCTCCATTGTCATGTTGGTCAAGAAGGCTTCTGGGAAGTGATGATGTGTGTTGATTATACAGACCTCAATAGGGCGTATCCCGAAGATTCATATCCACTTCCTAATATAGACAAGCTGGTAGAAAAAATTTGACCGTGTATATGATTTTGTCATTTATGGAAATGTATTCCAGTTACAACCAAATACGCATGTACTAGTAGGATGGAGAGAAAATGGCTTATATGACCGAGCAAGGAAACTATCAGTATAATATGATGCATTTTGGCCCGAAGAATGTAGAAGTAACATACTAGAGAAGGATTAGCAAGGTCTTCTAAGAAGAAATAGGAAAAACATTGAGGTATATAAGGACGACATGATCGTCAAGTCTAAAAAATAGGAACTACACAACAAACATCTCTTTCATGTGCTCCAAAGAGTTCAATAGTATAATATAAGACTCAACCTAGATAGTTTACCTTTGGAGTCAAAGCTTCCAAATTCATTGGTTTTTGTTTCACGGAGAGAGGCATGGAAGATAACCTAGATAAGTGTGAAGTGGTCATCTGGATGGCAACACCAAACACGAAGATGGAGGTGATGAGTTTGAATGGAATGTTGATGGCTCTAAACAGATTCATCACAAAGTCAACCCATCATGTTGGACCATTTTATAAGTTGTAAAAAAATAAAGCACACTTTGAATGGACTCCTGAATGTGAGCAAGAATTTATATCCTTGAAGATAACCATGTTAACTATGTCAGTGTTGTCTCGACCTTCCATTAGAGGGGTCTTTTTATTTTATTTGGTTGTGTCTGATAGGGAAATTAGCGTCATCCATGTGCAAGAGGAAAATTAAGCATATAGTCAGGTTTAATTTTATCTTAGACCTTAGTCAAACTAAAGACACACTGTTAAAATATAGATAAGGCAACATTAGAAATAGTGACATCATCTAAAAACTTGTAACAACATTTTATAACACATTTCATCGTGTGTAGCAATCCACCTGATCCCACTGATTTCTTGTTCGAGAGACTGTTATTAGCCAAATGTTGATTGGAAAACTCCCAACTTTGTCTACGACCAGCCTTTCCACAATCTCACCAAATTTAGACATCTTCCAACTCCTTCTTACAAAAAAAATATGTACTAGGCTTGGCCAAAGTCTTACATGGAGTATACTAAAACTCTCTTCTTGACGGATAATAATAATTATCAAACTCCATTCAAGAATTGATACATGCACATGTTACAAATAACAAACTTCACATGAAAACACTAGATACCTTAATGTATCACTAGTCTCCCTAAACACTCAATCTTTTGAGATGAAGGTCCACAATAACAGAAAATAACTAAGGATGAAGATGATGAATTGTGCCAGAGAATATTACAAACACTCTAATTCACAAGGTGTTAGTTGTAACACCCCCTAAACCCCCGTATAAAATAAATGGCATAATTAGAGTAAATTAGCATGCATAACAAAGAGGGCGTCACATGTACTTCATAAAACTCAAGAAATTCATATACACTTATCATGATCATAACACGCATTTATAATCATGTTCCATACAATAACATATATGCATCTAGAAGCGGGAAATAAATCTTTTTCACAACGTTAATAATGATTGAAATCCCATACTGACAATCATACCATAAAGTATTAGGAACTAAAGGCCATCATCATATACATCACAATCAAACATGAATATAACAAAATAAACATGAATCCAAATGTTCCTCGTGTTATATAGACCATAGCAGACTCACTACCTAGTAAAACAGATAAATAAAGGACTAGCTCCTCCAACTACTCATTGCTAGAAGCACCACCACTATACTCGGTACCTGAACAATATCGTATAAATCATCATTCCAACGTAAAGGTGATAATTAATATCATTATGGACATATATAATAATAGTAATGCAACACATACAAACATCAATCAAATTCATCACACTTCACATAATCATGTATTCATCATACTTCAAACCAATTGACATGATTACATATGCAAAATTACTCAATGATTTAATATTCAAAGATAACCAATAACAATTACCACAAAGAAACATTTACACCAAAATCATATAATGCATATTAATTCAACAATTCACATCGACACATGTGACTCCAATGTAACTCAATGAAAATCCATGTGATACCAACTGTTATCCTTTTTGGTCCTGCCAGGTCCACATCTCCAAGACAGATAACCACCAATAGAAGCTCGTCAACCATAAGCTTTCAAATTGAGATCTTATATTTTCAGAGTCATAAAAGGCCATAGCAGAACTGTTACCCATGGGATCTCAAATGGATGTAGACCTGCATTGTGAGTGTGAGTGTGTGTAAGGGTATAACTATCTTTGAAAGAAATGAAAATGTAAAAAAGAAAAACAATAAGCGCAAAGTTCGTATGCTTAAACGTCCATGATTCATTGATGTCATATGGAAATGAGATAATAACCCTTACAAATGGACCATTGTGCCTCGGGTAAGACACAAGGTTTTAAGAGTCTGAATTGTTTTAATATTACGGATCCAACAAAATGTAAAGACAATTTACTGTGGGATAAAAGTGATCGGGACAAAGTCTCTAGCCTCCCAGTTGCTGAGCCCTCCACTGACAGTTGGGAAAATCCAATCCTCTAGGTCATAGTTGTCTTCATCATCCTCCACTGTATTGACTTGATGGTTTCTAATCTTCAAGGGTAGTCCTCCGGCACGAGCGCGACGCACAACCTTCTGGGAACCTGAAGTGAAACCCAGACCAAACTTGTCAGATTTGTATGGGATATCTGGGAGTTGTCCCTAAATAGTGCACCCACCTTCTTCTATTACTGCCTTGGCGTCCTTCAAAGATGACATCTTGAGTGGAGGCCTTGTGGTCTTGGGAACTTGAGACACGACCTTGGTCACTGCCGCATCTTGCGGGACTTTCTCAAAGTGATGAAATGGAGTTTCAATAAATTCACCATCTAATTCCACATATATGAAGGAATTGATATGGCTGATCATATACACTTCTTCTACATGAACAGTGATAATCTTCCCTTGAATCAGGTATTTCAGCATTTGGTGCAACGTAGAAGTAACAGCGCCGACATTGTGAATCCATGGTCAGCCTACCAAGTAGGAATATGAAGGGCGAATATCCATTACATAAAAATTTGAATCAAATGTTTGGGTTCCAACCTTTATGGGGATGTCCACTTCCCCGTGCACCATCCTTTTTGAGCCGTCAAAGGCTCTCACTACTATGTTGCTT